AGTGGCGTCAAGTTGGCCATACCCACCCAGTTGGCCACACCCACCCAGTCAGCCATGCCTGTCTGACCTCCCCAAGGTCAACCACAGCCCTGATGTGGCCCTCAATGAAATTGAGTTTGACATCCCTGCAATAGTCCATCTGTGAGGTGGCTAGATGGCACTAATTAACCATCCACTCCACCTAACATCCTCATTTAAAGATATCAATTTTGTTCTTTCAAACTTCACTCTCAGAAGCCCAAATATGGCTCCCTGTCTGAAGATTGGCGACTTCCAGTGAGATGGAGCAAGCCTAACATAAATGTACCATACAGCTTTATAATATACCACATAACTTAACCGTACTAAATTGTTTTATATTTGTGTATGTGTGTATGTACAGCATATGTGTATGCATGTGTATATGTATGTGGTATAGTGTGGCATGTAAGCTTAGACACTTTAGTAGTTTATGGTTCAGGGGTGTGTGAAGCCAGAAAATTAAACAATGCAAAAAACAGGTTAAGCATAGCATGTGAATGCAATATATTGTGTTTAAAGTAGGTTTCATAGCTCAGGGTAGAGACAGGTTTGGCAGGCAGAAAATCCCAATTTTAAATAATCAAACAATACAAACAACACACCTTTCTCTGAGTTCCTGCAAAGCCAGAGAAAGTAACCTTTTATGCACTAGAAAGCATCACACCGAAAAAGGGCGTTGGTACTTACCTGATACGCCCGTTCTCTGTGAGCTGTGAAGAGCATCCAGAAGTGGGAGGTGCTTCAGTCTCTTCTGGAAAGGCTGGGCTTAAAACTCCGGGATGCTCCTCCTCCTCCACGGGACGCCTCCTCAGCATCCCCCAGTTTTGTGAAGACTGAGTGCCAAAGTCCAGGACTCATCACCTAATCTAGATCCCTGACCGGAATGGAACCCCACCAGATGGAAAGAAATGGGTGGGGCTGGATACTCTTCACAGCTCACAGAGAACGGGCGTATCAGGTAAGTACCAACGCCCTTTCTCCCATGAGCTGTTCAGAGCATCCAGAAGTGGGACATACCAAAGCTTGGCCTGTCCTTAAGGAGGGACTCCGTCTGGATCGAAATCCACTCCTAAACTCTGTGAACCCTCTGCAGGACTCTTCTGCCAAATGAAGCGTCTGCTGAGGCATAGACATCAATTTTATAATTTCTGACAAAGGGAGATAACTGAAGCCCAAGTTGCCACTCTACAAATTTCGTCTATGGAAGCCCGTGTGGCCCATGCAGCTGATGTTGCTGCACTCCTTGTAGAGTGGTCTGCAATGCCCTTCAGAACTGAGGTGGACTGGCATTCGTAACTTTTAGCTAGGGTGGCTCTCAACCATCTACCAATGGTTGTTGCCGACACCTTTTGCCCTAAAGTGGATGGGTTGAAGGATAGGAATAGAACCTCAGATTTTCGAAATGCCGCCGTACGGTCTAGATAGATGCTTAAGGCCCTTCGAATGTCAAGTCGATGCCATTGATGCTCCAGTCTATGAGATGGTTTCGGACAAAATTTTTGGAGGCACCAACTCTTGCACTCTGTGGAAGGCTGAATTTACTTTAGGAGTGGAGGATGGATCTAATCGGAGAATCATTCTGTCCGCATGAAACACGCACAGGTCCTTTCTCATTGACTATGCCGCCAATTCGGAAATCCTCCTTGCTGATGTGATTGCAATTAGGAAGGCCACCTTATATGTTAGGAATTTAAAGGGTCGGTTCTTAAAGGCTCGAAGGGCCAATTGTAAGTGCGGTTAACACCCTGTTGAGGTCCCAGGTGGGATAGCAGTGAATTACAGGAGGTCGTAAGTTTGCAGCACCCTTAAGAGAGATGCGGACATGTGGATGGTGCGCTATGGACCGGAGGTCACCCCAGGCTATCACCGAGGCTAAAGCCGCCACCTGTCTGCGTAAAGTATTTGGCTTACCTTCCCATAGAATAACTATGTTCCCTTCATTATCTCACAAGCATGGGTGGGCTTCAAATAATTTAACAACCAGTTCTCTGCCTGGTTGCCCACTGGCCATAGTGGGCGTGGCCTAGTTGGCCTACTACACCACCCTGGGAGTGAAAACAGGCTGCTGAGTGGGACACTGCGCCCCCCATGCCCCATTTTTGACCTAGTAGGCCTCCCTGCACCACCCGGGGAATGAAAACGGGCCACACGGGGCCTGTTTTTCGCCCTCCCCAGACTCTGGAGGCTTTCCTCGAGCCTCCGGGAGGTCCATTTTCACCCCTGGGCTCTGGAGGCTTTCCTCAAGCCTCTGAGAGGCCCATTCTTCACCCTCCTCAAGCTTCCACATGGGCCCTGCACTTACCTGTGATCCAAAATGGGCCATGTGGGGACTCCTGGGAGGGGCGGGATGGGGTGGGTGGGGCCAGCTAGTCATTGGAACTACCTGTTTGCTGAGCCAGGTGTAAAATTAACATCCGGTTCGGCCAAACTGGCACAAACTGGCTGAAGCGTACCCCTGATTACAAGGTTAGGCCTCCATGACATTTTATTTATTTGTTGTTTGATTTCTATAGCCACCCATCTCCACAAACAACCCTGGGCAGCTCAAATATCGTTTTCATCTCATCTTCACCTGCCGCAGAGGCAGCTTAATTCAACTTTAGAGGCAGCGCTAAAATAGTTTTCTTCTCTTCTTCCAGCACCACTTTCAATGTATGAATGATTTATAGTGGTTCATTGATAAAGTTGGTGATAATATAGTCAGGTAATCTGAACAGCACCTATTGCTCATGTGAGGATGTTGTGGGCATGTCATCGTTCCTAAGCCACTGGCAACTGCCTTCCCTGGCTCTTTTGCATTCAGATACAGGACAAACTGAACACCTGGCTTCCACAGTGACATCAACCTGCGTAATACCTGACCCGTGCTTTGGAAAATGCCAGTCTGATATTTCCAGATTAACTTGCTTGTCAAAGAATACTAGCCCTGTTTTTAAAACACAAGGAAGGATAGTAGACATTTATGTAAGAAAACAAAACTAGTGTTCTCTATTTCCTAGAGAAAGCACTAGCCTACGTTGTAGATTTATTTGTTTTATTTCTGTTTTTGCTTTAATTGGGGGCAATGTTATTTCACCTACCCACACAATACTACTAGGTGCTGCTGACCGTGAGCATTCACAGCCAGCATTGACATTGGCTTGAACATCCATCTATGTGAGATAAATGGGGGCAGGGATAAAAGTTGCAAGAGTTCTGTCCCAGGTCACAAGTACATTTATATGGCAAAGGGAGAAAGAGAGAGAAGTTGACTAGTATTCCTCATAATCCCTCTACCACGTTGGTGACCTGAATCATGGGTTATTTATGAAGTCTTCTGGAAGAATGCCGGTGTAAAGGGAGGTAGAAAACATGGGCAAAAGAACACAACTTTTAACTGATAAAAGAGACCATAAATGAAATCTCAAGAGCCAAATTGGTGTAGTGGTTAAGGCAACAGGATAGGAGTTACTGCCAGGATCCTGTGTTCTAGTCCTGCTTTAGGCATGAAGTTGACTGGGTGAGTTTGGGCCAGCCTCTCTCTCTTAGTCCTTGGCAAGGCAAGGACAAACCACTTCTGAAAATAGTGCCAAGAAACCTAGAGGAATTGGTCCAGGCAGTCACCAGAAATCAGTAATGACTCAGACCCCCAAATTTCAGCCCTGGGAAAAGAAGGGAGCCTAAGAAAGATTTAATGTAATGTCATGTTATAAGAAAGGACAGAAGAAACTTGGCACTCTGCAATAAAGCAGAGTTTAATAAAACTTATGAAGTTTTATTTCCTGACCTAGCCAACTTTGATGTACTAACACCTGAATCCAAAAGTAATCAAGGGACATGCTATTGGCTGAGACAAAGGGATATATTTGGGCAATTTGAAAGGTATCTGAATCCTTCATCTCACTCTCCCATTCCATCCCATCCCCAAATCACTCAATTCCAGTAATGCTGACAGGGGACTGAAAAGAAACATATTCAAAGTATATCCACTTTTTGAGGCCTTTAACTTGTCCTGAATTACAGTTGTAAGGGCAGTACCCCTTCCCAGCCCTGCTGCTAAGAAAGAATTGGATTCAGCCATCAGGCAATGTAATTTATGCTGGTATATTTTTTTGCTGAGTGAAGGACTGAAGGAATGTATTGTAAGGTGATTATGGTATTTTTTTTGCCTTTTATTTAGGACTTTTATTTGGATAATCCTTGTTTAGTAACTGCCTTATTTAGTGACCATTGTAAAACTACAACGGTGGATGAAATGATGGGATGAAAAAGTAACTTTGCGAGCAATCCTTGCATTTAAAACCTTCACAGGTCTATTAATCAAGGGAAAGTTGAGGATCATCACGGTTTCACTTAATGACTGCTTCATTTAATGATTGAATTGCTGGTCCCAACTGAGGTTATAAAATGAGGACTATAGCAAAAAGGCCTTAGCTTAAGGATAAACCATATCACTGCATCCAGGTTCTCAGTTTATAACTTACCTGGTGAAATTCAAAGACAATGTGGTACAATGCTTAACCCTCTCCAGTCACAGAAGCTTTCTGGTGAATTTAGCCCAATCTTTCTCTCTCACCCCAAGATAACAAATAGAGTTTTATATGAAAAATAGGAAGAAGGAAGGCTATTTGAATGAACGGTGAAACATACAACAAATAAATAAACATATTTAATTATAATAAATTTAACTTGAATATCATTGTCTAACCTCATGAAAATCAGTAGCTAAGAAAAATAAGACAGGGAAAGACCAACAAATGCCTCAAACAAATACAGAGGAAATTAATATACTTAATCAAATTGATGAAGGAAGGAAATCCATAGAATTACAAACCGATCCGCATGGTCAAAGGTATCAAAAAGTAAAGAAACACCCATGCAAACAAAAAGAATGAAAAATTTACTAAGGCTTATGTTCTATTAGCAAATTGCAGTTTAAAAACCTTTGTTCTGTCCTTCATACTACATTAATTTAATACAAATTATTTATATCCTTGCAGCACCAACAGGAACAATAAAGGGAACAACTACATCGGAAACATCCTCCACTACCACAAGCAAACAGAATATGACAACAAGTAGTGTATACACCGAATCAGAAACAGCCACATCTCCTACAGAGGACAGAGGGCTATCCATGTTTTTTACAGTCAGCTCTACAAAGGCTATTAGCACTTCAGAAACCATCACGTTAGAAACCACAACAAAAGCAACATCGGGTTCTACCCCAAAGAGTATAGGACACTCGACAACTATCCCAGAGACCACCATGCTGGAATCCATCACATCTGAAACAGCGATGCCTCCGACAGAGAGCACTACAGCTTCAGGAAAGAGTAGCATGATGACTTCTCCCACTATGGAAACCACAAGTACCATTCCAGAGAGCATAGCAGTCTCTGCAGCTTTCCCAGCAACCACCTTGACTGCGTCCACCACATCACAAACTACCACATTGGTCCCAGAAACCACAATGCCCTCCAGCTCTTCCCCAGAGAGCTCCTCAATTAGTAGTAGTACTACAATTACCACTACAACAGCAACAGCCACTTCTCCCCCAGAGACCACAATGACCTCCAGCTCTATAG